CGTCCTCTTTAAACATCTACAAATTCAGAACCTGTACAATCCATTTCTACATGTTTATTCTTTCGGCCGGCTTCACCGAGGGTCTCGGAGGATCTTCAAATATCCGCCTGCAGACACTGCATTACCTGGAGCGATGAGGTACAACAGGCAGCGCCGGTGTCTTGACAATTCCACACAAAAGCACATAAGCAGAGCAGGCTTCCCGGGGAATGCAGCAGATCCCAGGGGGACCAGCCAAAAGACTCTTCTGCTCACAGCAGCATCATTACATCCAAGCTCTGGATATCCAGCATAACCATGGCAACCCAGCATCCCAGTTCCTTGAAGGAACAGGTACAGGAAGATGAAGGAAAAGGAAGACTTTGAGATCCTGCTTCCCTGGTGGAGTCTTAACAGAAGAAATGTAGAACACAATGTATGACCTCTAAGTACAAATAAAGGACATGGTGCAGTGGAATGATATAAGACAATGCACCTAATATCCTGCGCCAACGGGCTTTTCTATGCGGGTTTTACACTTCCATGAAGGAAGCAGCAACTGCAAGTTAAATGCACCCATCAATACATTATGTTTGAAGGATTTTGTCGTTGAAGGGGCGCTCCACTTTTTGCAACATAAAAATCAATAAATGCATCTAGGCTGCAAAAAGAAATACATGTGCATTGAGAATGACCTATGGTGCAGATTTACTGCATTACGGGTTCATGTTTTTTTCTTTCCATCAACAACATGCCCTATGTTGGCTATCTTTATGGTTTAATTGCCGATTGTATATCTAAATGACCTAGGATTCTCTTACGGTTTCTTCTTCAAAAGCTTCAATAATATATATTTATGTATTATATAATTACATTTTAAGATGATAAAAGTTTATTATAACTATAAAATATTTAGCACATAGCACTAATTTATACTAGAGGGTGGGTGGGGAAGGGAAGAGGGGCTCCTTAGATCCCAGAGACAATTTCAGTAGAACACCACTAAAAGGATCTAGAACTATAGAGTGGTGGATAGAGGGAATAAAAAATGTATAACTAAGAGGAAAACAACAAAACCGCTCAGAGTTAGAACTCTCCATAGAGAAGGAGATAATACTAAGAGGGAGGGGAGATGGATGGAAGGAAAGCATGATTATTGTTAAAGATGGTTTTATTGTATAAGTGTGGTGGTATTCAAGAAGGAATTGTAAAGTAAAGTATAATACTTGAACTTGAATACTGTTTTGTATGTGGAATTTTTTTTTTAGAAGATATATATATAAAAAAAAAAAAAAAAGCTTCAATAATAATCTATTGAAAGAAAAAAAAATGAATTTTTTTTTTTTGCATTTTGGATTGTGGGTACAATGCCCAGGCTCCTGCAGACCGTTCCTCCAACCCCAGTAACAGACCATCGGTGGAGCTGGAGGAAGTTCTCAATAGACTTGAAGTGTTGTGTACTCCATTGAGAAGTCCCTCTAGCACTGTAACTGAAATTTTTTCCATCCTGTGAATAAATGACACGGATGTGGGGCAGAACCACACCAAATTAAAAAACTATAGATGCCTGCAAGGAGAAGCCCCCCACAATTTAGGTAAGTGGTGGGCGGTTTGGCTCCATGTTACACCCTGAATATGGGTGGAACTTGGTGTTAAAGGTGGAAAAATCCTTTAAGGAGGCCAGGCTCATCTTATTCTGTATGATTCCAATGTTTCAGGTTATGTCCTTCACAACAGAGGACAATGAATTCTGAATGATCTCAGGAACATCTCAAACTGATGCCATCAACACAAGCCCAAAGCCTGTGAACACAGCACCCCAAATATTTCTCCAGGACCATTCTGGCAAGATATTCCAACAGCCCAAGGGTGGGGAAAGCCCTCCATCTGTGCTTTAACTACAAATCCTATCATGTATCTGCCTCTGGGAGTCATGACTGTAACTGTCAGTTTTGCTGCCTCATGGGACTTGTAGTTCCACAAGAGCTGAAGGGCCGGAGTTGCCCACCCCTGCAACAGCCTGTCTGGTCTCACTAGAAATCGTTCTCTTACCCTTTTTGCCTCTAATTGCCATTTCTCTGTAGGTTGGTGAAGAACACAACCCCAACCTGCTGCTTGTACAGCAGGATTCCCAGATTGTGTGTTATGTAATAATGAAGCCCAGCACAATTATGGTCTCTTCAGAAACACTCTCTCACTGAAACCTCAGCCTGGGGCGTCTTATAATGGACGCCCCTGCTCAGATTGCAAACAAGGTTTTTTTGTTTTACAAGGGCCAGCATCGATGGGCTTTGATAGGCAAATGCAGCAAGCTCTTGCTATCGGTTTGAAATGCCTCAGATCATTCAGAATTCATTGCCGGTGCAGTTGACCTGCTACAGCTTCTTATGCACTCCTCTAGACCAGTGGTAGCTACCTCGGCACTCCAGCTGTGGTGATGTGCAAATCCCATTATGACTGCAGGAGCCATGCCTGGGGATGTCTTGCAAGGCCAAATGAGACTTGTAGTTTCACAACACCTGGAGTGCCGAGGTTGCCTACTACTGCCATAGACGAATGGGTTGAGAGGTAGTTCCAAAGTGGACAAAAGCTTATTGGCTCTGAAGCCCAACCAGCTACCTGGTTAGTAAAAATATAAAAAAACGTTTTTGTTATTTAGCTGACAAAAAATATATTTACATTTTTTTTGTAGCTCTGACAGCAATGTAGGTAGAAAACTAAACATTCCCACTCCCTTTCTCTCGACTTTCAGCTGTACTTCAGGCAAACAGCTACACAGATGAAATGCATACGATAAAGAAGTTTCATCTACCAAAGGATTTGTATTTCTGTCAAGCCAGTTCTGAGATTTACACTGATCAGTCAAGTTGGTGACTTTTCTGTACTGCACTTATAGAAAGCAGTGTGGTCACCATTCCGTCCCCAGCCTGTAATTGGATAGGGAAGCAGCAGCAGCCCATTGGGCAGTTTGTTTCTGTGCTCCAATCAGCAGATGTGTAGTGTAGTACACCTTCCTGTCTCCTAGTGTCGCCTCTCCCTCTTTTCAGTTTGAGTTCTGCTGTACAGGTGATTACAAGATGCTGATACAGGCAGTCCCTGAGTTACGAACAAGATAGGTTCTGTAGGTTTGTACTTAAGTTGAATTTGTATGTAAGTTGGAACAGGTACATTTTTTAAAAGTTTGTTTTGCTGTGTGTGCCCCTGTTCAGAAGATTTCACCTCACTTTCTGTCCCTGTGACAATTGGATTTTGAAAATTTTGGGTTGTCGTGGAAACAAGGATTGGTGATAAAGCTTTCAGTGGACACTTTTTTTCCCATGGTAACTCTTACAGGAGTGAATTTCCCTTCCTAGGGGTAGATTTCCTCTCACTTCCTGTTGTCTCAAGGACAGGAAGTAAGATTAAATCTTTCTAATGAGGATACAGACAGCAGTAAAAACCTCACAGTGACCCGGAAGTAGAGGCGGGCACCCCTCGTCTGCACGTCTAACAAGAGCCAACTTCCTGTAATGTACGTACAGTACTACATACCATACCCAAAAAGGCGGGCACTCCTCATCAGCTCGAGCGCGGCAGTATTACAACTACCCCTGCTGTACGGTAATAGCCTCCGTTTGTAAGTAGGAGTCGTATGTAAGTGGGATGTATGTAACTCGGGGACTGCCTGTACTAGCTCAAATTCAGACATATACACTAGCTACATTCAGAAATACATTATTTCTCTTTAGCTAGCAGACTTCAGGAGTTGGGTTCACCTCTGGACGAGGTTCAGTCCGTTCTCCATAAAATGTACCCACATACCTCTACCTTAACCATTTACAAAAACTTATCTTATCTGTGTATCACTCGGCTGTAGATCCTCCAATCATCTCTGACTTGGTGCTGACACTGTCCTTCCTTCTGGAGGGGGGCAGGTAGAGTTTAGTGTCACTATAAAGTACAAGTTGTTTTGCCCCTTCGGTGGTTCCTATAAACAGCTCATTCCTCACACATAGGATGGGTTGGGTTTAAAATTGGCTTTTTTTTTCTTCTGCCAGCCGTACAGTCTACTGCCTTTAGTATGATTAGTTTTGAACCGCAGACTTACAAGGAAAGAGAGAGGAGCATTAAGCCATTTCACAATGCTATAAACCAGGAAGCAGAACATGCATATGTAATAAAAAAAATATGGCTGCCTCCTGTACACACCCAGGAGAAAGAGCCTCAATCTGGGGCAGGGTGAGGGGCCCGCCCTTCTTTTAATGCCAGGATAAGCCTTTCTAGCAGAGGTGGGATTTTCTGAGCACCAAGCGTCCTCCTTCTGCAGATGGCAATATAAACCCACGGGTCTAATGAAGAAATCCTTTTTTTTTTAATTAAAAAAACATTAAACGCACATTAATAGAATTACTTACTGAAGCTCATTACCTTCACATATCTCTAAATAAAACTGTAATAAGAACTCCCGTTAAGACCCTTAAGGGCTCATCCACACCGCAATCGGATCTAAACCGCAAGTCAGTGGGGGTCCGTTGACTTGCAATTTCAACCTCCGTTGACTTCTTTTTTGCCAATCTTGAAGTTAATTAACATGTCCTGAGTGGACAAACACCTGCGTATGTTTTTTTAGTTTTTACTTCCCTTCTGCTGTGATTACATCCGTTTCTGTCACGTTACATTGTGCTAAAAAAAATAATAAAAGTAGGACATGCACTACTTTTTTTTTTTTTCAGTACACTGCAACGCAACGGAATGGAGCGAACCGGTCCCATTCACACCCACACATTTTTCAGGTGGTTACCTTCCTTTGGCATCCATTGAAAAACAGATGCTCCCGGATTTCGGTGTGAACAGGCCCTAAAACGGCCCAAAAAATATGTGCCAAAATGCATCTCAAGCTGAAGCACCTTTTAGAAATATGTTATGGAAGGTAGGTAAGATTTGAAAATGAGACATTGGCTGCAGTGCAAATTTGCTCCAGATTTTGATAAATTCCCCCCATGGTGTTATTTGGCAGTTAAAACAAAAGTCATACACAGTGGTGTGTTCTCAATAATGAATGATTATTAAAAAGAAAAATCATACAGGATTGTAAACAAACGGTGTACAAATTAAACAAATACTCTCCCCATCCCTCCCCTGCAGAGTGAACAGCGACAGATGCAGCTCAGGTCCCTGTAGCTTTTCACTTTAATAAAATCTCTTCTGTTCGTAGACGTAGCTCTTTCCAGCAGGCACCTTACGGAAGAACAGGCTGTTGCCACGGTTTGTGTTTCCCTGGAAAGTAAGAAAAAAAGAAAACGGTGTCTATGAATTCGAATCTATACAGTAATATTACACCCCATATCATATATAGAAAGCTATCCACATTGGCTACAGTACAACGTAGACCCCTTAAGGTGACCCTTCTGCAATATCTGCAGAAAGAAAAGTGGCAGTACTTACCTTTCTGGTGCCCATCTTTAGGAATGCTGCACCCAGCTACCTCAAGTGTTCGACTGGTATATATATGTTAAATTCCTTTTTCATTGTGGTGCAGTGGTGTCTCTCGCTGCTCACCAGGGGTAGAAGGTATTCACACCCAGAAATGATAAATACTTAAGGCCTCATTCACACAGCTGAGAGCTAACCCGTACAGATCTGTGTGGCATGCAGGCCATATCGGGCCATTCCCGGGAAGGACAGGTGCTGCGTGTGATTTGTAGGCAGCAACTTGTTCTTCTCTATGGAAGTAAGCGGCCGTGCGCTCACCCGAGCTACACATTCGTGCGGGTGTCCATACTCGTATGCAGACGGGATGGATCCTGTCTGTGTCCGAGCACAAACACCCACACGGATGTGCAGCTCGGGTGAGCGTACGGCGTTGTACGGTCACATACGCCCATAGAGAGGAACAGACTAGTGCGGAAAATCACATGCAGCACCTGTCCTTACCGGGAATGGCCCGATACGGCCATGCGTGCCGCACAGATGTGTACGGGCCGACTCTAAGCTGAATGAGGCCTAAGGGTAATTCCACTTTCCCAGGCAAATATGGCCCCTCTCCCCAACCCCTCCACCCACCACTGCTCTTACCTGTCCACAATTGCACCTTCACCTCCACGGCTCCCAGGCTACTATCTGGGATTGCAGCCCTGTGGTATGTATATTCAAGTTTGCTCACAAATGGCGAGGGCGGCAGGGCAGACTGGTGGGTAGGGATGCACTGATACCGTTTTTTTCTGTATCGAGTACCGATATTTTGCTTTCGGTACTTGCCGATACCGAGCAGTGATACCGATGCTTGCGTTGGAATGGAGCCTGCTTCCTGGGCGGCATCGTTATCGGTGCATCTATACTGGTGGGGGTACTTCTATTTTTCCAAATTCGCCTGAGAAAGTAGAATTACCCTTGAAAGGGGGCTGGGGAGCAGAATTGTGGCGGTAAGTACTACCTCTTTCTCTGCAGGTGTTGCTGTTTTGACTCTGTAGTAACAGGGTCTTGTTGGATTATTGGATATTATTTTTATACTGCTACAGTCCTAACAATACTGATGATGTCTTTAGGGTATTATTTTTATAGGGTTTTAATTACTGTATGTAAAAGGTATGTAAAAGGTGTTAGGGGCCCCAAGGGCCAGTTTGCACTAACCTGTCTGCTAAAATGTTTTTTTTAGCAGACAGGCTAGTGCAATGGGGCAAGAAAATCATACTTGACAGGGTCACGTTAAAGGAAACGTCTTCAGGCCAGATTTATATACATTTTTATAACCAACGTTTTAAATATCTCAATATACGGCAGAAGTCGTTTCCTTTCATACCCTCTCTCACTAAAACCTAATATGGAGCCATACAGTGAAAGTGGATGAAGCATTGTTCTCATCCATTCACTTGGGTGTGTAAATTTTGTTTGAGCTATTACACTTTTTAAACAGGAGGAAAGGATTAACTGAAGACAAGGCACAGGAGCCTGTGTGGTAGAGATCCACAGGACAGAGAATAGAAGATGGCAAAAGACTCGAGGCCAAAGGCAGTTCCATCTCTGCAGAGGAAGGCATCAGCTCTATCTGGCCCATTAAATCCTGAACAACTGCAGAGAAATCTTTGCTAAATAATGCAGAGGAGGCAGCAATGCCTGATGGAGCTAAAGAAGACTTAGAAGATGGAGTAGACTCTAGCAGAGGACTAAATTACAGTTATCAGTCATTGGTCAGGTCAGTGGGCACTCTGCAGGCAATGGATCCCTTGGTGGAGTGAGAGATGGAGGCACCCACGCAAGCAGGGCCAACCCCGTGTCTAGAATCAGACATGTTGCACCACAAGGCAACATAGCCAAAAAGGTACAAGGCAAGGCGTCAGGTACTTACAACCCAACAGCTTGGAAGCACGTGTAGGGTCAAGCGGATGTTGGCGACCAGGTCACTGTAAGTGGGCAGTAGGATTGGACTGAAGATCAGAGTTCCACATGTCTCTTGCAATCAAAACAGCAACAGGAAGGAGCTTCCTCATTGCTGAATGTTGTGCGGGAGTGTGGAGCGTGCACGATAGTCCAGAGGATCTCATCTCTTGCAGAGTGAGATGGTAGGGATAGATATGTTCCGTTAGACTTACCGGTAACGGTATTTCTAGGAATCTTCCAGGACAGCAACCTGAGAGATGATTGGTTCCACCTTCTACAGGAAACACAATTAGCAAAACAGTTAAAAGCCCCTCCCCTTCCCCTCGTACCTCAGTTGTGATAAAAGTAGACTACCACTTCAGTAAACGAGGGGACATGGAAACACAATCTAAACTGAGGTACGAGGGGAAGGGGAGGGGCTTTTAACTGTTTTGCTAATTGTGTTTCCTGTAGAAGGTGGAACCAATCATCTCTCAGGTTGCTGTCCAGAGGATCTCATCTCTTGCAGAGTGAGATGGTAGGGATAGATATAAATGTTTTGAACACTGCAATCGTGGTTCCTATCGTGGGATGTTCAGTTTTGTGGCCCAAGGAAGGATTGTTTCTTCTATTCTGATGATCTATTTTGACCCTCTGTTTATATTTAGAATGTCTACACTAATCTTAGCTTAGAAGTTCCTGTATTTCTATCCTGACAGTGCCGCCTGATCTGATTTACAGCATCTGTCTGTATGAGTAAGCTAGGGGATGCTGAAAAAATCTCTTGCAGCCATCTTTTCTTTGCTTTTAACTGGAAGGTATTATAATACAGCAGCAAAGAGACAGTGAGGACCAAAACAGACTTTTACAATGTGGTGCATTGCAGTAATGCTTGTGTTAACACACATAGTACGTGCTTTGACTCATTATGATTATTTTGAATGGCCCCCCCAATGAATGAAGGTAACACAGCTCCGATGCACGTGTTGCAGCTTACCACAACACATGGTAACGCACTACCGCGTGTGGTGTCCCGCGCTGGAAAAACTGCTGTTTATTTGTTCTTGTGGGTTGCAGCCCATTCAAAGCACCATAACATGTTACCTCCTGGAGATCATCCGCCAACCGCAGAGAAATGTTGGGTATATGTCAAAGGGGTGCGCCCCTATTCCAGAATGTTTGATCCAAAATGCCCAAGCAGCCGCACATGGATGAGGTAACTCCTTACAAACATCTTTGAATTCAAACCATGCCGCATAGTCCCACCTTTGGTCTGCCCAATCTAATGAGTTTCACCCTACACAGGCTTAGTTGTAAAGATCTGAAGCCAAATAAAGCTGTTTTTATGGCATTACCTCATCAGTGGGTGGCTACCTGAACATTTTGGGATCAAACATGGGCCCTAACGCAGTGCACAAGAATGGCAAAGTGTCAAAGGGCCCTCATAGTGGTACTTTGTACCTGGCAATTTCTTTAAATATGGAGCTCATATTTTTCTGTCAGTTCTTGGTTGGCCCAAGCAATCTATATGATGGATTACCTCTCTGCTGAGCTGCATCCAGCAGTCTGTCCAGGAGGTGTACACAGGAGCATACGGTAGTCTGCCACCGGCCAGCCTGCAAGGAACAAAAATCTCCATCTATTAGAGAACACAGAGGACGGCCGACTGCACACCGACTCCTGCCATGTACAATACTCACCCGCAGTTATTAACAGCCATGAGATTAGACACTAAAACAAATGGATACGTCAGCATACTGGCGAGGAACTGAAGAGGAAATAGGGGGAAAAAAAAGTCAGAATTCATGTTTTATAGCAAATAACATTGACAAGATAAGTCGCATTCAGTACTAAATTCTGCTTTATTCCAGCCAATAAAAACAGATCATTCCCTTTTGTTCATAAACTATAGTTCATGCAATACTGCATTCAAAAGCACCCAATGCTAATCTCCTATATCATTCTGCACCTACAGCTTTCTCTGCTCCTGAGTTTCTGTCTACGTATCTTAACATAAGAAAAGCTACAGGCTTTGGGCTGTCTCTGTTAATCTAGGTTCACTTTGTTAGTGGGGACTGGCCTTAAAGGCCAAGTACCACTAACGGTCAATGAGAATCCTCTTATCTGGTCACAATAACATGTGGGGAAAAAGTCACACAACAGCTGTAGCAGATAGCAGACCACTAATACCTTTTGTTCTCCAGTGCGTCAGTCCAGCAAAGCCTGAGCTCTTCCTGAACACCCACTAATATATAAACTAGGGATGCACCGATACCGTTTTTTTTTTTTTTTGTATCGGGTACCGATATTTATATTTTGGTACTCACCGATACCAAATACCGATACCTGTAGCATGGAGCCGGCTTCCCGCGCAATCATTACCTGCTGCCCTGCTTCTTGATTGCCCGGGAAGCTGGCTGCATGCTGTTTGGCCGACACAATGCTGATTGACTGGGAAGCCGGCATCCCAGCCAATCAGCATTGAGCCGGACTTCCGGCCAATAAGGAAGTCAGGAGGCAGGTCATTACCTGCTGCCCGGCTTCCTAAATTGTCCGGAAAGCCTTCTCCATGCTGTTTGGCTGGCTCGCTGCTGATTGGCTGCTAAGCTGGGTTCCTGGTCAATCAGGAAGCCGGGAGGTGGGTCATTACCCCAGCCCTGCTTCCCGATTGGCTGGGAAGCCAGCTCAATGCTGTGTGGCTGACTCTATGCCGATTGGCTGGGAAGCCGGCTTCTCAGCCAGTCTACATTGAGCTTGCCAAACAGCATGGAACCAGCTTCCCGGCCAATCAGGAAGTCGGGCTGTGAGTCATTCTCTGTGGCCTGGCTTCCTGATTGGCCGGGAAGCCGGCTCCATGTTACCTCGTGGCACTGCCGGTCAGGGGAAATCACCATCTGACTGGAAGTTCTGGTATAGGGGGTATGTATGCGTACTCGCCCAAATACTCGGTATCGGTGCATCCCTAATATGAACATTCCATAAGATGCTAGATGCATAGCCATTCCATCTACCTTCCCACAATGTTCAACCCAGGCTTGCTAATAGGTCACTCTGCCACCAGGCACTGCTTTGGGATGCCAGTGGTGATAGAAGGGACCTGTCAATGGCAAAGTGTTATTAGCTTTTTTTTTTTTTTTTATTAAACTTAGCATTTTCCTTTAACTGCAGCAAATGCCACATTTTTTTATTTGTACTATACTAATAAGCAGCTGGTCTTAGAACAGCTTTGGAAGACAGAATATCTTCTATTTTTTGTCTTACCAAAAAAACAGACATATTACAGACAGGACACAGCACTCTCAAAGCGGCACAAGGGAGAATACAGAAGACTAGGGATTCCCTCTAGAGGAGTATGTTGGAAGTAAACTTACCCCAGTTAAAGCCTGAGAGTAACTTTTAATCTCGCTTACGGTCTGCAAAGAGAGAAACACACAGAAATAACCTGAAACATTCATTAGAAGACTATTGTTTTGCAATGAATGCCTTTGGAGAATTGCATGGATAGCAAGAAGTGAAAGCACTCGCATACCCCATTTTCCAGAGCATACGTGTTGATAAGGTAAGCCGCCATATTACAGATCCACAGAGAAAGGATATCTCCTAGTAGTCTTGGAATTAAACCGCTAAAATGAAACAGAGCAGCAGTGTCACTACATACATCGGATAAGAAGAGACTTTACAAAAGACACATTTACGTACAGTATCTCCTTTTCTATAAATGACAATTAAACAACCTCCAGTACCAAACGGTAGATGTAAATGAAGTACCAAAAGGGTCAGAACTTACGCAAAAAATCCCAGAACGCCTTCCTCCTTGTATATCGTCACTATGGATCCAAACACTCCACTGTAAAGTGAAAAGAAGCCATGAAAAGATACAAAGGATAAAAAACCACTGTCAGTTTATCTTATTATTAAGGGAAAGAGACTGACGTACTCATATTTGGTCTCTCTTCCAATGAACTGGACCATGCACCGTAGTGTGATCACTGCAAACAAAGAGAGACAGGAACATATAAGTAGTTAAAGGGCAATACACAATGCTGTTGAATAGAAGGTTATGCATCTATGTCATGGTACCAGACTTGACCTGCACCCAGATCTCCAATGCCATAGCCAGTAGCCAACTACCCCAGTACAGAATATATATTGATTATAACAAGCCCCCACTTTTTTATCCCCCTAGTAGGTTCCCCCTTTTACTGACACACGTGAACAAATTTCTCTGTTCAGCTTTTTAAACTTATGCCATACAAGTCAACGTTTCGTGGCCACACAGGGTCCCTTCTTCAGGGCGACATAGTGACAATCAAAGAACATTAGATCTTATATGCTTGTACTAAAGTGTGTGTATGTAAAACAAAAACAACAACAAACACACACACACTGCATTGAAAAATCTCACATACCGTGGAAGGGGTGCGTGATGAGCGTAGCTGCTGAACGAGCAACCATCTCCTGAGTGGTCTGAAAGGGAAAAAAATAGGAAGAATATCAAATTCCTGTGTGCAAAGCTTATGGGCATATGTTTATGTAAGCCTGTATGCTTAGAAACTCATTCATTTGGCCAAGCCGGTGCACCAGAGAATGCAGTTAAAGCGTATCTATACCCGAAAAATTAACATATCTTATTTGCTCCCTTTTGATCTGTCAAAATATACCTTTGAAAGTATTTTGTTATTTTACCTTGAGAAGTTGGAAAAATATCTGTTGATTTTGTAAGCTGAGAACATCCTGTGCTCATTATTATTATTGGGTTTATTGCTCATTATTTCTCTCTGAGGACTACAGAACCTTGCTCCAAGCACTCAATTTTTACAGTTATCTTGAGGACGGCCGCAGGCATGACTTCCAAAGTCATGATGGTATTTGCAGTTAAAACACAGATGGAGTGTGGAGGTTGCCTGTCCATGTTCTAAGTCTTCCCTAATCTATATAAAACTATAAAAGAAAAAAGTCAACCATTTGCAGTGTCTAAAGCTGCCTACAAACATTAGAAGGCCGCCCGTTATGCATGCACAACTCCTCTTCAAAGAAATGGATCAGATGAACATCTTCTAATGACTAAGCACTTCAAGGAAGAGATTGAGCTTGCAGGTAATTAGAATAGTCTGAAATTTAATTCTGACCAATAGCATCTCATGTTTCCCACAAACCTTAAAAGGAGAACTATGAGGCGAGTGCTTTTCACTCACCTCATAGTTCTAGTCAATGAGACTGTCACAGGTCGGCTCAGTAGATCGGGAGGCGAGCGAACACATACCGGCGTTCGCTCACCTCTCGATCCTGTCACGGCTCTCTGCCGTGGCAGGGGAGGGGCTGGATTCCCCCCTCCCCGATCCGCCAGCGCTGACTGGCGGAACGGACAGACGGACGGGGGGTACAGCTGGCTCTGCCTCTAGCTAGGCAGAGCCAGCTGTCAGTCACGCAGCTGGGCGGATCCCGGCACAATTGTCGGGATCCGCTTCAGCGTCTCAGTATACCGCGAGCAGCATACTGAGCCTAGGGTGACGGGAGGATGCCGTTACCCTAAGGAGAACTATGGGGAAAAGCCTTAACCCCATAGTTCTCCTTTAAGCAGCACCACTGTACAATATGATACATGTGCTTACCTCTTTAATTACATGGTCAAGGGAGGAGCAGCTTTCCTTATGTTCACTTTCAGCATCCTACAGGAAACAATAAATACCAATCATAATCTCACAACAAACCACAGGTTATCTAGCAATCATACGATCTGGATAATTTTCAGAACGGTTTTTATGAAAATAATAATCTATGCAGTCCGTAGAATAATAATAATAATAGAAGGCCTAAAAGTTTAACATCCATGAACATGGATGCAAGGCCTAGGACACGAATGCCAATGAATGTGGATGGGAGGCCTAGGACACGAATGCCAATGAATGTGGATGGGAGGTCTAGGACACGAATGAATGCGGATGAGAGGCCTAGGACACTAGTGTCAATGAATGTGGATACAGGCCTAGGACACGAATGCCAATGAATGTGGATGGGAGGCCTAGGACACGAATGCCAATGAATGTGGATGGGAGGCCTAGGGCACTAGTGTCAATGAATGGGGATACAAGACCTAGAACACGTATGTCAATGAATGCGGGTTGTAAGGCCACATAGAACACTAATGTCAACGAATTTTAATCCAAAGAGGATTGGGCATAAAGAAAAGATGCAGATCTGACACACACACACACACACACACCAATGCATGCATACAGAGGGCGGAAAAAATAATGGAACTGCAAAATGGAAAGTAACTTATGGCAAGCCTGAAGTGAAGAAAACTTCTCAGCTACTTTGGTACAAAGGGGGAATCTCCAAGCTCCCGCATGTCAGGCCCATTTTTCTATTCAGCTCCCCTGGGGCTGTAAATCCATGGGCATCATGGTATGCAAACATAAACCTTCTTAGGTTAAAAGTGTGACCCTACCCCTTCCAAGTCTCGCTGTTGTTTAAAGATGTTGCCTACTACAGTGGTGAGCCAATAGTGAGGCGAAGCATGTGAGACCGGACAGGGTAAACGTTTGACCCCCTGGAATCTTGGGCTGTAGTTACAGTAGACTTCTGATTCAAGTTACTGGGATTGACAAACTGAAAATTGGACCCAACATGTCAGCACTTGGAGGATCTTGCTTTAAACCTCGAAAGGCAATTTAGGCTTTTTTTGGTCACTTCAGACTCATTTTTATGTGGTGATTCTGTTAGGAGATATATGTTGGCTCAAAGTCCAAATTGAGGACTCATGTCTACTTACTTCTCCATGATTCTGATTCTGGTAGCACTGTGGGCAGAAAAAAACGAAACTGTGTTAAAATCTTCTCCTAAACTATGCATACATTGGGATAAACTTACAATACCAGTGATAGACAACATTTTTTGAGATTCTTCTACTGTCAATGGTTGTACAGGTTTCCTTGCTGCTGAACCCGTCACAAGCCTGAGCAAATCAAACTGAGAACATTATATAAAATAATGTATACGGCAGATCTCGCCGTTCAGGGAATGTTTGTTCCAGTTTGATGTTGATGGTCTCCACAACTATCTCACCTCCCCATCCTGTTCTTCGACAATCAACACCAACACATCTTATGGTGATTGGATTAAGGTGTCTGTGCTACCTGTGTGGTTGTAAATGCCGGAGTAACTTTGTGATACTCATTTATGCTGGGCACACACCTTACAACCATCGCAAGACTTTTGTCTTGCGATGGTTGTAAGGTACTTAAAAAACGTACGATCTGCATATCTTGCATAGACAGATCGTACTTGCGATGATCGCAAGCCACGCCCCCTGAGGGGTTCCTATTTACATAAGACAAAGTGAAGAAAAAAGGAAAGATTACAGTGTAAGGCCAGCTTCAGGAATATGCAGATCTGTAACCGCTTTTCACTTATGATGATCTAGATTGTTACTGGTCTTTTTACTTTGCATATTTATTGTTTTGTCATATATGTGTGGATAGTGGACTGCCAGGATAATCTAAAAAAAAATGTAAATAAAGTCTGGAAAATAAAAATCCTGCTCCAAACAAACACCTAGAAAAGGTAAGAAATAATTTTTAGCTATGCTGTGTGAATGTGAACACATAAGAGGAGTGTCTCTCAAATTTGGTTGCAAAAGTGGAAATACAATTTAAGCGCCATATTTACAAAGCAGGTCATTCAACATTCCCCAAAGATCCAATACAGGGGAATCTTCCTGGTGCATGTTTTAAATAACAGTGATTAATTCACCACTGGTGAATGTTTGGTGAAGGTCACCTTCACTGCTTAAATGTTAAATGTTGTTGAGGGAGAGGGGCAATTATTAACTCTTACAGTTGGGTTATGTTTTAAGGTGCAGGTTACTGAAGGGTTAACTGCTAAGGGTAAGTTATTGGTTGAGGATCAGAGGGGAGATGCTTTTACAATTGTTTTATTTACAGTTATTGCTAAACGCTCCACGTTAAAGTCCAACCTACCTAAGATTCAGGACAGCCTTGTGGCTTCCCAAATAATCATTTATAATACCCAACGTCAAATATTCTGCTGGGAGTATATGTAGAATGATGTGATGACATTAATCAAGGAAGATAATTTCTAATAAACAATGTGGATGCAATTTGTACTTTTATATCAGCTGCGCAGATACAGCAATTGATGGCGAAAGATAAAATATGTTGTGTTTGTTTAATTCTGTATTTGCTGGAGAAGAAGGATGCAGAAATTAACCTCTTGCCGTCCGCCCGTAGTAAAAAAACGGACGGACGGCACTGCAGCATCTGCGGGTTGCCATCTCCAGACGGCAATTTTTTTCTGCTCGCGCGCGCCCCCTAGCGGGCACGCACGGGCAGAAAAGACCCGCTAAATGCACACACCCGTTACCGGGTGTTTCACATATAGGCGATCGGCGGGTCCATAGCCCGC